GGGGGTGAGGGGGAGGGATGGTTACTTACCAAAACTTCTAAAAGAAGCAAGTAATACTATTTAGAACGAACGTTTAATGAATAATAATTTATAATTTATATCAAATGAGTAATTAATTAAGACTATATTATATTTGTTATTAAAAGCTAATTATATTTTCTTATACAGTTCGGGCAAATATTATCTAAACTTTTACCTTTTTCTTTTATTTGCAGAATCATTCATTTTAACTTTCCTACAGACACACTTCCCCCTTTTTAACAGACAATGCACACCAAACTCCTTTTTAAACCAGTTTTATACGGATTTTCGTGCTTGGGTCTCCTGGCCGTCTTTTTATTGTTAATACAATCCAGAGACTTCATGGGGGCAATTTGTGTTCTCCCTCACCAAGGAGCAGAGTTGCATTTCGCCCTCACCGCTTGCGGCAGCTCCTACACTGCAAGCTCCATCAACACTTTGAAAAGTGCGGTGCTTTTTACTCCTGATGGTGACGTCCTGAAGTTTCATGTTTTTACCGACAGAAGAGAAACCTTCGAGAAATGGGTAATGCGTCTTTCATTGTAAAAAGTCATTAAAATTTCTTCTTAGTAAAATTAGTCAGTTTCGTGCTGGGTCTGTAAATTATTCATGTTCTTGATTTTCTTCCGCTTGTCCATTTATTTCATTTATTGAGCAGTGAAAGAACACCTTGTTTAAAACCAACTCCAAACCGAATGTTTGTGTTATCTCATGTCATTGATACACTTTACAATATTCTATTTATTTTTGCAATTTGTCATTTTTCGTTTTATATTTTTATTCATTATTACTTATGTTTGGAATTGTGTTCTGAGAGATTGTTTTTATATATTCCCGTATAGACTTAATCATGTTGTCTACATCTGTTTATAACTGATATAGATTTTTTCATGCTTGGGCCTCAGTCCCGTAACTTGCAAAAGATAGTAAATGTATATCACTTTGTAATTTCAGAGAGAACAATTACCCGCCCGATACCGTCATAGAATCAGGTTATATTTCTACCACATCAGCGAAGAGGCAAAATCCTTGACCTTCATCAAAGAGAAAGAGACGAGATCTTTACCTTGTACAACTCAAAGATTATTCTATACGGTACATGTAGGAGGATTTTATTTTGTTTATGCTTATATTTAAATGTTCTATTTTCATTAATTTCATTTTGTTTGAATACAACATTACATTTCCTTAATGCCATCTTATAAGACCTACTATGATTTCGTTCCATTGTTTATTCTTTTAATTTTTCTGAAAAATGTTTTTTTTTGTTATGAATAGAATAACGTTTTTATCATAATGCCTATACAATTTCGTATAAAAGATAAGTAAAGTATTTAAAAGGAAGTGTATTAGTAGTAGTAAGTGTAAGTGAAGTATTAAGTATAAAATGGAAACCCTTGATTAATATCCATATTATATACATGTGTAAACTTACAGGAGGGTCTTCAGCATTTGGATCATGTAGTCCACGTTGACACAGATATGATCTTTCTTCACGATATCAAAACTCTTCATGACAAGGGCTTTGCGGAAATGAATAACAGTCACGTAACAACGATGTCGCAGTGCGGCCCACGTGATAGACAAAACACGTGGTATAATAAAGACGTATACACGCGGATGCCGTTTTATCCGCCCGTTGGTGAGTGAACAGAAAATTTGATCGTAAAAAACTCTTATGTTTGACTTCCCTGACTTGTACAGGTCTTTCGTCTGTGTACCGCGTAATGAACAGTGCCTGTTTAGGCTATTTCTAATGTACCTGGTAGTTGATATTTTCCTGAAATTTAGATTATACTTAGTCTAACATGATGACTTCTTCGATAACCCAACGAAATATATCATTAATTTCATCTTATATTTCAAACCTCTCTAAAATATAAATCTCACCATAAACATAAGAAATGGGATTACAAGCCCAAAACATAAGAAAAAAAAACACTATAAGTTGGCTTTTATTGTTAGTGATGAAGGAAAAATGAAAGGCCGTTTTGTCTACCAATTTAGAAAGTTGCTATCTTTTGACCTGAGTAATTGTAAAATAAATTGTCAAATTTGTGTTGAGCGTTTACCATAACTCAGAAAACACTTGTTGATGAAATCATTTAATATTTATCAGTCCCTAGTATGGTGGTATTAAATACTGTAAGTTACATTTATGTCTTTTTTTAGGATTACAAGCGGGAATAATGTGGATGAACTTAACAAGGATGAGACGGATAGGATTTCAACAGTTGTGGAGAGAATCTTATGAAAAATATAATGCAGAACTCTACCTGTACGATCAAGATATTCTCAATGCGCTTTTTGCGACGAAACCAGGTACATGTATGTTGCTACTACTTTTGATGCTTTTTTTAAAATAGCCCGATTGTGATTCTAATGCTTCGAGGATTGCAACGTTTACGAATTTATGGAGACTCTAGACGAAAAAAGGGGAATGAGAGCAAATCGACACTAGTTTCTAAAGAAAAAAAAACTCGTTTGATTCGTGTCATCATGTGTCAGTGGGGGAAGGGGTTAATTAGGCACTGGATCCGTCTATCATAAAGGAGCAACCGTGCGTTGAAACCAAACATTACAAAACCGACACATTTCATACAGCTGCAATACAGCTAATTTGCTAAAAAGAAGTCCAAAACGTTTTTGTCCGCGTGCTACATAGATCACGTCCTCTTTCAGGCCTTACCATATTTATTTCCAGAGTTGGTGAAAATGCTGACCACGTGTGATTGGCACTACTGGTATGCGTACTGCCAAAGTGAGGTGTACTGTACGCCAAGGGAAGTGTACGTCCTCCATGGAGTCGCGGACTCTTTTCATAAGGCAAGGTGTTATCCATTCAACACGGTCTGGGGCGTGTTTGAAAAGGTAGATAAACATCTATATGTGTACTAGTGCCTTGTGTGCCTTGGTGCCTCTCTCTTTCTCTCTCTCTCTCTCTCTCTTTGTATGTGTGTGTAAGAGAAGGTATTAATTACATGTCACTTAATTCGCATTTGCATTTGCTTGTGTCCTAATAACGTAAGCGCTAGCTATCTGTAAAATCCACAGCATCTCAATACAACGAGTGTACATGTACCTGTCATAATAAACACTTTTGTGTTTTGGTCGACTTGATATAGATGTATCCTCCCCACCTTCACATCAGAACTATTACATGAACCACACACGTGCTTTCTGTAAAAAATGCTCTAAAAGGCTTTGACAGCTGATAAGTTCATGTACATATCTATACTGGCAATTTTAAATTATTCTGAATTAATTTCAAATATCCGCCGCAGTTTCTTTTAAGTCCGATCCTTGAGCTTAGTTTTGAACAAGTCAATGAAATAGGCCTATCAGTTAAAAAATGAAACTTGTAATTGGAAATGAGCATCATTTTATGAGTTAATTTATAAATTTATTTATTTTGATAACTGATGTATATGAATGCATGCTATTTCAGTTTTCTTTGGGCCAAGACATCCGAAGTCACCTGCTAGATCCCTTACTGAAGGCACTCGGCAACCAAACCCAGGAAAGTCAGAATCAGTTCTGTGGCAAATGCATAAATACTCCTACTGAAGCTTTGGTGGGAGGCTTGAGGACCTTGACATGAATTTCATGTTTTTGATGAGAAGTTCATTTCCCCCAGAATTACAAATATTGAAAATAATGTATTTCATAAAAAAAAAGACCGGGATAGTATTTATAATATAATACCTTGTTCCCTTTCTTAATTCAAAGATAAATATAACATTAATGAACTAATATTGTGTTTCCATATAACAAGACAGCTCGCAAAGGGACCTTTTTTGTAATGTGCACCATCAACCTAGAATCTAATGATATTTTTGCTCTCTTCCCATCCATTTCTTTGAATAGTCTTTCCACGTACCCATTTCTCTCGCAACGATTGGTTCATTGCTTTAGCTGTGTCCGTGCTTCTCTAACAGAACCACTTACGGATATGGATTATGCACTACATGCAGTACATGCATCTAACAAACACTGCGTTCCATTTCAGCACCATCAAACCTTAAAGTTGTAAAATTGCCTATATTAAGAGAAAAAAGCAACTCACTGATATTGTGACGCGAGCTTGATATTGATATTGATATTGATATTGAGCCCTCCCCGCGAGGGTCCCGTGAGCACGTATTTCAATCGCGGGACGGGAGATGTTGAGCTTCATCGGGGAAAGTATATCGCAAGCACGAACAACAAGAGTGGATTTCAATTAAAGACAAACAGCTTTAATGAAGCTAGAAATCGATTATAAAATTTCACTAGCACACAAGCAAAGTTTATGTCATTTGAGTGACTCATACGCAGTTAAAGTCATTCATGTTACTCAATTCAAAAATACATGTTAACGTTCGCACAGAGTTCACAGCTTTTTTTTTTTCGGAATCCAGAACAAAAATAATACCGCTGAACAAAATTTCAAATAAAAAAATAATAACGGAAACGCTGCACAGTGGGTCCAGTCTTCTTTCGCGGTCCATGGCTTCATTACACTCCAAATTGGGCTATTTGAAACCCTTGTAGTGTCCATACATTGTCACCCGGCTGTCAGGAATTTACGCCTACACCTCCTCTGCTATACGATCATCATGACCGGCAAGAATTGCTTTATGGCCTGACGCTGAAAAAATAAAATAAAAACGCAAACAAAACCAAAGAAACTAAAACATAACGAAACTAAATTAAGAGATTTCCAGTTCAGCTAACGCATTACTGGAGTTGCGGATCTAAAGACAGTGATAATAATAAAACTCACATTTCAGCTCTGCCGTAATTCTGACTCCCTTCTTCTTTCTTCGTTCTCCCCTTCAACTGCAACCTTTCCCTTGCCTTTTCTTTTTCCGCGACCTCCGTTACCTGTACGTCGTCCATGCTCATCATTAACGTCTCCATTCCGTCTGCACCGCCGTTTGTTTATATTCTAAGGTCACGAGGTTATGCTAAATAATAAAATTATGTCAATGCTGTATGACGTTACAAGATGGCGGCTCCCATTCCAAGCTGTTGGTCGTGGCAGTGCGATTGTAGAAATTCAGGTAGGTAAAAACAGTGTTAACTAGAAATAAACTACGCCAAATTACAGAAATGATCAGGGCGCGACCCTGTCACGTTACAATATGTCACATGTAGATAATACTTAAGCTAACATTTACTACATGGAATAGCGGCCTACCTTTCTGGCAGTAACCGTGTAGCCTATCAATTAAAAGAATGCCGCGCACAACACAACCATGCATTTATACCATATAACTTCCGTTGGATTTCATCTACGTGGTGAAACATTACCGAATCTTAAAAGAGCATGATTGAAATGACTCGTGTGTTCATATTAGGTCTACTCAGTAATAATTAAATACTAGGCCTATTATTACAGTGTTTAACGACAACGGTGTCGCGGCGTGAGCAGACGACATCATGGTCTCACAATAGGCCTACTGAATACATAGGCCTACCACTTTTTATTGACTATCAAGGGACAGTCGGTAATACAACAAGGTATTTAGGAATAAATTTATGTTATTAAATTGACTGTCAGTAGTCCTATATTTTGCATGGTTCACGGCATGTGGCGTCGAGTAAGTAGGTATATAATAAAATATACAGTAGGGCCTAAAGTAGGCATATAGGCTATAATTTTTGTAATGATATACTATCACCGAATAATAATCCGTTCACCTAGATAAAGACAACTTACAAATAGTGCATAAGGTATCTGTTAGATTTAATTAAATATATAATTTAACTCGATGTTTATTGTACCACCAGCGTTAGCGCTGGCGGTACACATGGTTTTAGTCCCGTCCGGTCCGTTTCGCCGGCTCCGCCGCCTTTACCGTTACCGCTTCTCCTCCTAGACGGTAAGGGCCCCCATACCCATCTCTTGGATTTAGGTCACCTATAATCTCAACTCGTTCCACGTAAAATTTGGGCTTTGTCGGTATTGGGGTCTAGGTGTGGCATTCATTGCAATGCACCCGTGTCCAAAAATGGCAAAATTAAATGCTAATTATCTACCCTACGGAAGGAATTATGGGAAAAATTTCTACAGACGGCTTTCCAAAAGTCATATGTGTAGATTTCAAATATGCCCTTGGATTTGACCTTTGACCTTTATTTCAAGGTCAAAAACGGGCCAAAATTTCAAAAAAATGAATTTTTTTACGAAAAAAAATTATTTGCGCTGTTATTCAGACACCACACAGACTTAACCAATAATATTATTGGAAAATGTTACCCTTCAGGTCATCTTTCATCTCCGTAAATTTGGGGTCAATCGGTGCATTTTCACGGGAGTAGCGGCCATAAGATACCGAAACTGAAAACTGTCTCTAATTCAGGAACCGTTAATGCTAGAGACCCATTCTTTTTTGCATTTTTGTAGAGCATGTAAAGCCCAACACTGGAAGTGGTCGCCGTTTTTTTGTATTCCATACGGTTTTCGAGTTACGCTGTATCAAAAAGTNAATGCCGCAGCAATTTACTTCTGTCATATACCTTTCAATAATTTACTTTATACAAAACAACTTATACCACAATAAACGTGAATTATCAGCAATTATTGAAACGCATCCCATAACAAAATATGGACATAACACCATGTAATAATTTTATAAATCAAATTCCTTAAAAATTAGCTTGAAAACTTCATTAAAATACCTTACATGTATTATTTCTGTTATGTTAAAAGGAATTCCTGTGTGCCCATCTCTTGGATTTAGGTTACATATAATCTCAACTTGAACACCTTCTTTTTTTTTTTTTTTTGCCAGGGCGTGATGCTTATTGAAGCGCACCCTTGTCAAAATTTTTGAAAATTCAATGCTAAATATCTGTGAACATTCCAAAAATGCCCTTGGAACTGACCTTTGACCTTTATTTCAAAGTCAAACAGGCCAAAATTTTCTTTAAAAAATGGGAATGTTCTTCAAAAATAATAATTGTTCATGCCAAGTTTCAGAAACTACACAGACGTAAGCTCCCATACTACAATTGGGGTTGACAGTTAGGGACTCCTTTCATCTTAGAGAGTTCACGGTTAAACAGTGCATTTTCCCAGGAGAAGCAGCCATTAGATGCCAAAACTGAAAACTCTCTCTAATTCTGAAACCATAAATACTAGAGACCTCTTTTTTTTTTTTATTTGCATTTCGTAGAGCTTGTCAAGCTCAATACTGGAGTGGTATCCATTTTTTGTTTTTGATATGGGTTAGGAGTTGCGCTATTAAAAAGTAAATTGCAATATTCACTAGTGAAATATAATGTGAAATATTCCAAAATGGCAGAGACACAACCATAGTTACTATTGACCATGAAAAGGAAAAATGATGCTTATCTACAAAAAATAAAAACCCTTGTTTACTGCAGTTCTTGTGTAGCTTGTCAACCACAACACTACATGTGGTGTCCCCCCTACTTTTTCTTTGCCATACGCATGTGCTTACTCCAGCTGGTGGTACAATACCAGGAGGCGGTATCGCCTCTCTGATCCTCTGGTTCAAACTGTTTTCATTTCTTTTATTTTTAGACTATTTGGTGCACCTTGCCGTTTGAAACATGACCTTCCCTATTTAGAAGATAATGCACTTGAATCTCATATTTAAACCAGCTTCACTTGGACTTTTTTGTTTGGGTATCATCACAGTCGTTTTTTTGTTGATACAAACCAGAAATTTCCTGGTCACTATTTTTGGACTACCTCAAAATGAAACAGAATTGCATTTCGCTCTCGTCGCTTGCGGCAGAAACTATACTGCAAGCTCCCTTAACACTTTAAAAAGTGCGGTGCTTTTTACTCCTGATGGTGACGTGCTTAAGTTCCATGTTTTTACAGACAGAAGAGAAACCTTTGAGGAATGGGTAATGTAACTATCTGCAATTTTATTCTAGATAACAGCCATGCGTCCTCTTTCTCAATCAACGTCTTTTAACCGTATTTCAATATCTTTCGTTATTTTAATAAACTTTAATTTAGAAATAAAATATTTGAATTTCGAATTTAAATAGAAATCCGTCGTAATACGTGTGGGATATGGTTATGTCTAATGATGATATATCTACAATATTTCAACCGTTTCTTTTGTTGTGATTTTAAAATGGCTTAATTCAAAACAAAAGAGAAAACATTCTGTATCACTAGATAGTAAATTATTATATAAAGATGACAAATGTTTTTTCAATACGATTTCAGAGGGAACAGTTACCCGTCAAATACCGCCGTAAAATCAGATTATATTTGTACAACATCAGTGAAGAGGAAAAATCCTTGTCCTTCACAAACGAAAAGGAGATGAGGTCTTTACCATGTGCAATGCAGCGATTATTTTATTCGGTACGGCAAGATTTGTTTTCTTTTCATTTTTAATGAGATAAAATTAAAAAGACAGACGCTGACGCTCGAGGTGTTCTGGCATATCCTGTACGGGTATATCGCTCGGGTGACAGTATATTATCTCACAAATAAACATTACCTATTGCTTGACACAAAAAACGCATATATTATTTCATATGTACGTAAAATTCATTTACAAAACTACATGTTAACATGAGTATACTTGCAGGAGAGTCTTCGTCATATAAACCACGTGATCCATGTTGATACAGATATGATATTTCTTCACGATATCAGAGCACTCCATGACGAGGGTTTTGCGGCTATGAACAAAAGTCACGTGACAACGATGTCACAGAACGGCCCACGTGATAGGTTGAATCCGTGGTACAATAAAAAACGTTACATACGAATGCCGTTTTATCCGCCTGTCGGTGAGTGATTTCAGTTGATTTAAAAAAAGGTACTACGAAAATTGTCAGAATGTGATTTTAAAGTATTTAAGACGCTCGGGTATGTCTTACATATTAAGCAATTGGCAAAGAAACCTTGGTGCTTGAACCGTAAGGTGAGATCTTCAATATAATATAAAAGCTTGTTGCAAAGCAAACGCTCAATGTAATGTCAATGAAGAAAGTAATTAGTGCCTAGTGCAGTGCTTATTGGTGCGTAAACTGTTGCCTTATAATAGGGAGTAACAACGAATATAAATCGAGGTGAAACTTCAGAATTGTTCTATTGACGTTTCACATTCCTGTGCAAGTACAGTGGCAAATTTAGAGGGGTTTTGGGGAGGTCTTGCCCCCCCCCTGCGATTTCTAAAAAAACCACACCAATCGTCCTATCTTGAAATTAGTTTTGACTAGTTCTAAACCCTACCAAATGGCACCGTTCGCCCTCTAAAAGACAAAATTTTGGGGCCCTTCAGTGGGCCCCTAACCCCACGCCGAGGTGGGGGGGGGGGGGGGGGCTTTGCATCCGTGGCCTGTCATTCCTAAAAACCTGAACCCCCATTCGAAGAATCCTGGATCCGCCCCTGAAATATTTTACGGGTACATTCGACCAATCACCGATAGGTCATCATTTGTGCATGTGATGCTATGAATTAAATCTTTTCAGGATTACAGTCGGGATTAATGTGGATGAACCTGACAAGGATGAGGATGACGCGTTTTCAACAATTATGGACAGAAGCCTTTGTACAATATAACACGGAGTTCTATCTCCACGATCAAGATATTCTGAACGCCGCTTTTGCGGCGAAACCAGGTATACTCAATTATTAATTTAATTGTTTCAAAATGCTCGATTGCGAATGATGCACTTCGACAGCTGCTTAGCTAACGGATTAAAGGTGACACATTTACAGGATTTCAGGTACTGTACATACTCAAGAAGGAATATGAAGGAGGATGAAAAAAATCTGCCTAACGCTAATCATTATCTTTGTTCTACTGAGCTTAAATTCCATTATCAAAAAATGTTTATGGAGATCGTAGTGGTTTCATTGGCAACAACCATGTGTTCGAAACTGCGTATGTACCAGTAACTGACAACATGTAGACTCCGGCAGCGAAGTTAAAGTATGAAATTACATCAAAAAGTATTTTTGAATAGTTACATAAAGTGCGCAGAATGTTACCACATTCAATCCACATACATAATTTGGTTTTCATATGTTAAAAAAATTAATGTATACATTTGCCAGAGATGGTGAAAATGCTGACCACGTGTGATTGGCACTACTGGCTTGCGTACTGTTTAAGTGAGGCGTACTGTACGCCAAGGAAAGTGTACGTACTCCATGGTATCAACTCATCATTTCACTGGAAAAGCTGTTACCCTTTTAGTACTGTCTGGGATGCATTTGAGAAGGTATAGATACAAGTGCATGTTTGTGTGTTAATTTGGTTTCGTGGGTAAACGTGTATGTATATGCACGAAAATGTAAGTGCGTTTTTGCGTGCGAGCGTACTGTATACATAGTAAAATTGATTTTGGTTAATTCTTACTAAACGTTGTTGGTTTTACATGCCTGTGTGAATCACAAATACAAACATACGTACACACACACACACACACACACACACACACACACACTCATGTGTCCTGACATACAGATATAAAAATAAATTATATCATGTAAAAATAATTTGATAATTAACCATTGGTATAATTCCGTTCAGTAATGAGCGCTTTCGGCCATAAAGGCTCTCCATTGGTATTATTGCCACATAGGCTTTGCATACATACAGACGATTATTTCTCTTTTCGGAAGCATTCTGAGTCTTTAATAAGTGTTTACCAAAGTCCTTTTGGTATTCAGGATTTTTTTCGCTTAAGTAGGCTTGCACAAGCCGACGGAATCATCATAAATATTGAATCAGTCTTTCACATGCTTCTCCATACACAACTGCCGTGGTAGCATCCATGTACCGATTATTTAGCACATTGTTTACCTTTTTCATATTCCAAAATATAAAAACATATTCCAAATTATGATTAAAGGGATAACGACTGTTCATTTTGGCGAAAAAAATAATTTTCCTGGGGTAAACAACATTTTTCCCATACTTAACAATGGTTAATGAATCCATATCTACATTCAAAGCTAGTCCCTGTTTTTTTCTAGAAAGTTTGTTTGTTTGTTTTTTAATAATCTGTAAAGATATTATTACAGAGTATAGCCATCTATGGAGGTCACATGGTCCGAAGACAAGCACAGATTTCAGAATAATTGCTTTTACTGCCATTTTTTGTGGTAAAATAGAATATATTATATTTCTATGAGTTGTTTACAATTATTTTATTGTGAAATATAGATCTCATACGAAGAGTTGTTATCCCTTTCAATTTGTTTCTGTTTCAGTTCTCACTGGACCAAGATATCGGAAGTCACCTGTTAGAGCCATTATTGAAGGCACTTGGAAACCAAACCAAGGAGGATCAGAATAAGAACTGTGGCAAATGCATAAATACTCCTACTGAAGCTTTGGTGGGAGGCCTTAGGACCTTGATATGAATGCCAAGCTTCCACATGACCAGAAACTTATTACCCCAGACTCACAAACAATGGGTAACATTTATTAGATGCTAAAGACAGGAACGGTTATTTTCGCAGCAGTTTTAGACATGACCACATGACCAGAAACTTATTTCCCCAGTCTCACAAACAATGGATATCATTTATTAGATGCTAAAGACAGGAACGGTTATTTTCGCAGCAGTTTTAGACAACATTTATAAAAAAACTTCTGCGGATTATCGATAATTAAATAAGATGAAAAAAACAAGTATATTCAAGAATGTCACATCAGTGACAATTACAAGGGTGTTCTACCGGGAGTAAAAAACACTTCTAAATATGGTCAATGTTTAGTTTCAAAAGCACGTTTCACCAATGGAAAAAAACAGTAAGTGATTCATCGATCTCATGAGCAAATAAATAAACAAGTGTCAAAGGAATAGGGGATGGATGTGTACTTAGTAAGAAGTGGAAAGGTCTTAGACTGAAGTGACATTTGCCCTTTGCTAAATGTACGGATTCAAACCGCACAGCATACATTGTAGCTTATGGTAACTGGTATGTCTAATCTGGGCTAAGCTCTCCTAAAATAACATACCATGAGGTTTTATCTAAAATGTATGGTTTTCAGCTCGTTTTCACCACACATTTAATACTTAATTTTAACGGCCTTGTGTTCATAGCGCATTGGCTTTATAGCAAAGTAGCATTTCATTTAAACACAACCCAAGAGCACAGTAGGTGTACATATGACTTAACTATATGGCGAGAATACTTAGTCATTGATAGTAGTGTACCTACATTTGTCCACTATCTCCTCTGGTACGGTGGTACATTTTCAACAAATCAGTGTATATATATATATTATATACCGCCTAGAGG